TCCGCCACCTGCTCGACTTCAGCCTTGCATCTCCCAACCACATCCCCATCAGCTTCATCTCCAGCGTCGGCACCCTCGCCAACTGGCCCTCCCCGGCCACAGCCATCCCGGAACAGGGTTTCGAGGAGTGGGACTACGCGGTCGGCGGATACGGCCAGTCCAAGCTCGTGGCCAGTCGGGTGCTGGAGACGGCCAGTCGGGTGTCTGGCGTGCCCTGCAAGATCATCCGCGTCGGACAGGTCGGTGGGCCCCGCGGGGAACGGGGGATGTGGAATGTGCGCGAGTGGGTGCCCAGCTTGGTTCGCAGCTCGTTGTACCTGGGGCTTTTGCCGAGCACACTGGGGGGTTTGGTGGCGGCGGGCGGGTGGATGTGTGTCGAGGATGTGGCGGGGGTGATTATGGAGGTCTCGGGGGTGGTGGAGGGGGAGAAGGGGTCGCAGGATGGTTCGGAGGTTCATGGAGCTGAAGAAGACGGGGAGGAGCAGGGAGCGCGCTACTTCCACGCCATCAATCCGCATGCGGTCGATTGGGCTGGTCTGGTGCCGGGGCTGTGCGAGTTCTACGGCGACCGCATCACGAAGGTGGTTCCGTTCGAGGAGTGGGTGGATGCGTTGGAGGCCAGTCTGGGGTCGATGGCGGCCCAGGACGCGGAGCTTAATCCTGGTGTGAAGTTGTTGAGTACGTACCGCGAGGCGGCGCGGGACACCACGGCTCGGGCGAAGGGGTTCGAGACGGCCCGCACGGAGGCGGCGAGTCCCACGATGCGCGGGGTGCAGCCTGTTACCCCGGAGTTGATGAGGCATTGGTGCCAGCAGTGGGTTTTCTGAGGGGGTTGGGTCTTCTCAGTGGATACGGTATCTGTTGAGGTTGGACTTTTAGAAAACGATTACCTTCATTTTATAGAGCTTCCTAGCTAGCATGCATTCTACTTTTCAGGACACGAAGGATACATAGGATTTCATTCTTAGACTATATGATCAATGCTCGGGTACTCGCATCGTTATGCTTAATAAATAGCCCACACATGATACTTCTTTGGGGTTTGGTCCTTGATCATACTCATCATAGCTTCACAGTAGAATAGGAATCTTAGTTATTATCGAACTCGATTCTACTACGATACCATTAGTTGCTGTGCCCAGCCCGGCCACTGGCTAAGAAATGAGACGTTTGTCATGCCCAATATGATATATAATACGTGTCAGGCTGAGATGTTTGTTTATACTCGAGCATGTTCAATTTGTCGGCGTTCCCGAGTAATCCATTGAACTCCGACGTAATAAGACAAGCTGATAGAACCCTAGCACTGGTCGAGTTGCCTCCTGCCAAGCATCCCAAGAAGACAACAAGCGACACGTCTAGCTCCAGCAGCGAAGCGCGGAAGAACGGTGCCTACCACGCGCGCGATTGTCCCCTGGTGAGCCCCGGCGCCGGGAAACTACAACCCAGCCCCCGGACGATGACGATGAGCCTAGGCCCTCACGATTACCATAACAGTACTATCGGGCTGAAGAACAAATCTCGGCTGACGACCGTGAGTACTTGGCGGTAGTCCACTGGGCTCGGGATACTGTGTTCACAATATTCCAGGACGACGAATCATTGCCCCAGGACTCACGTAATTTCTCGCCATTCTCTGCCACTCAAATCCAGCCTGGAGTTTGACCCTTCGCCTAAAGGTCAACCTTCACTTGAGTGTCTAGCGGGTGACTCTGGGAAGGACTTCAGTGTGACAGCTGCCAGAGCCCGAGACATCAGCACTGGCGGCCAGAGAGACAATCGAAATATAGTGCGAACTGGTCCACGTATCTTCACTCCTTTTCTGGCCTGTTTACTTGTTCCTTTGTTGGGATTTCAAGAATCCAGCTCCGGATACCATTGGTGAAAGCTTTGAGATGCGGTACCAACAGCTATTCTCCCAAGCAAGTGTGCTAAATTCCAGAGCACAGTAGTTATTCTGTCCTCTTCGCTGATACTATCCGGCTTTTGGCATCTCGATGATGAATGCGGACCTCTTGGTTACCATCAAAACTATAAGAAACGCTGCTTGTCGCTTGCGTTTGCTCTTCCACCCCAACAGTTTTCCATTCCTTCTCATGATCTCCCTCATCTCTCGCGACACCTACATCTACTTTCAAGTCCACCTTCCCGCTCACGAAAATACTTCGAGTGCTACTCCCAGCCCTTCCATCAATAACGTCAACCATCCAAACATGGGACGAACCAACAGAAAGAGGCGCGCCAAGAGGCTGGCGAAGCAGAAAGCAAAGGAAGAGGCAGAGAAGAAGGCAAAGCAAGAGGCGCGGCAGAAAGCAAAGGCGCAAACCGAGTGGGGGAAGAACAGCATCCAGAATGCGCTACATGGACGCAAGCACAGTGTGTGGGACCGTGACTTCTCCACTTTGGTGCCATTACTGCGGCCACTGGTACTCGCACTGGCAGGCAAATGGTGGCAGTGTCATGTGTGCTTGGGGTGGTCAAAAAACGAGCGGTTGTGCTGCCGCAGGCTCTCCCGGCGTCTGATGTGCAAGCACGAGCGCTGCCCGTCTTGCAAGCCTTTTCTTTCTCGGCAGCAAACTCTAGAAATTGCCATGTCGCAGAGGAGGATTAGAAGGCTGGGGGTGGTGAGATACTTGTTTCCATCGCTGCGGTGACTCTTTTGCGATGCTCTATACAACCATGCATTGAGCCATGCATTGAGACTTCCAGATAGAACTACCGACATACCTAAACGCATGAAAAAAATCAAATGTCATGTTTGGCTACAATAAGTGCATCATGTGTAGCATTTGTGTAATTATAAAGCACCAGTGTCCTCTGGTTGGATCTTCTGTCTATCTGTTTTGGCGTCTTGCTCGGCGCCATCACTACAAACGCGGCGCCGACAACTCCCCCGCTCTCCGCTCCTTTGATATTCGTACTTTGTACAGTACAATCACATCACCACCGTGTCCGTCATGACGCTTGTATTCAATACTTCGACTTCTGGTGTTACCCCGGAGTAATGCACTACTCTCCGTATGATACCCTGAGCGTTCATGGACGCCTTCGTTGACAGCATTAATCGCATGGTTTGTACCGTGATAGCCCTAGTGCCACCTCCCGCCAGCTGATGAGTACTGGTCGGATTAGTAGCGTAGTGAAAGCGATTTCAATCTCTCTTTCCCTACGAGACCGACAGAAGAATTTCGTGTTGTCGTTGTATCACACGCCGTCACTACCAGCGCGGACGATCGTCTTGTTATTGGGGTGGGCTCTGCCCTTTGCAAACAAGGAAAGGCGAGCAGTGCAAACGAAGAAGCCGCGGTCCACGTCTCTGCCGCACACCGACTCTCCGGATCCAGCCGTGTGAGTGCCAAACAGAGAAGACGAAAATCGATCCCTTTGGTACGGTTACTTGGTTAACAACGCCTAGTCTATTTCTTGTCTCTGATGGCAAATGTCCGATGTCCCGAGGAAGTGCCTTGGAGGGCCAAGGCTTCCAATCACTTTGCCAGAGCGACAGTCATAAAGGTATCTTCCAAGAGCTCAAGAGCCTGGTGTGTGAATCACAGGCTGGTGTTTGTGTTCGAGTCTGCGCCCGTGCCTCCTTTGAGAAACAGGCTATTGGAGATGGCGTTTGGAAGCACGGATGCGAGAATACGCGGTTGAGTTGGTTGGGCTTTCAGCGTGACTGCAAACGCATCCCAGGGGATCTACTTCGGCGTAGGGTGATTTCTCTCAGTGTCATCTTGGGGCATGACATTGCACATACTGGATTTCTGCACCATTCCTCACATCGCGTCGATGAGCGCCAAAGCAACTCAAGTTCATTACGTCGGGTGGGAACTTCGATGTTTTCATGATGGTGAGCTTTATAGACCTTAATAAGATGCGGGATCTTGATAAACAAGAAAAGACATGGGTAGGTGATTATGACAGGGTACGATAACCTTTTCGAGACGTCTCAAAAAAGAGGTGTAGGCTATTCGTCTTCGGCGACGACTCTAGTATAGCATTCTCACACGTTTCGAATTTCAGTAGGTAGACACCCCGGAGCCTTATCATACGATTATGGTGATACAGCTATGTTCTGATTGCATACATGGGAAGATTAATGAGAAAGGTTGTAGAAAGGCCTTGGTGTGCGGCGTATGGTTTCTCCTAGTTCGACCAGCCGTAACGGAAATCGGAAAAGAAAACAGATTTCGATACAATGAAACCAATTTCACCACAGTAGAGAATGCCCTAGGCTCTGACTTCCTCACACAATGGCCCTTTTAAGTTTAACGGACTTACTAGACATATAGACAGGCCGACAACCGTCAGAAAGGTTGGACGGTGATTTGCTCTTATTATTCAACAAGATGTCACAGAATGGAGTATGGAGAAGGGCAGAAAAATCAGACTACCAGTAGAAAGCTACATAATCACCATTTTCTACTTTAGCCAGCACCACTAGACCACAGTAGCAGACAGAATAACAATCTGTCAGCTTCAACGGCCTCGTATAGTATTCTTTTAGACAATATTACAAAGGATCAAAACACAGACTCCTAGAACAATATACACCGAGGTTAGAAGGGTAAGTATCGATCTAGTTTATGAAGTACAGCACTATTAGGTTTGGATTCCTACATCTTTGGTTAGTTGGTTGTATTGGTTCTTTTCAAGCACAAGTAATGAATTTCATCAAATGCCAAATTCCCTGCTCTCACCGCAAATATAATATGTAGATACACCAAGGAAGAATGAAAATGACGGATTCGACTAATCCACTACTTACATTTTCACACGATGTGTTTAGTACGATGAAGTTGTGATGAATTATATATTGCAATAATAGATCATGTGTAAGCTGCTAGTAATGAGTATGTATCAATTTGGATGTGTTTGTTGTCCGTACCGAAAGAATACACATATGTAAGCATCCATATACCTTTTTCAGAAGTCTGTTTTTGAGACATTGGCGTGAGAGACTTTGAGGGAAATGTGTTTCCAACTGTATCTGCATACCAGGTTCACTGTGCTATGTCTGAGATGGCTTGCAGAATAACTGACGCTTTGGCACTGATCAGTCTACCTTCTGCAGCGGAGGCAATGCCGCCCTCGGCGAATGCCTGGCCAAGAGACTCAACGGCATCCACGCCGAAGGATGTCTCATCCACCCGATGAAGCATCATAGCACCATGTGTACAAACTCTGACCCGATATAAACCCTCGTCCCGGCATTTAGGCACCAACTGCCCGCCCGTCTCCGCCACTTTCATGATGTCCGGATCGAACACATCCCCCGGCTTGAAATGTGCGAGCTCATAACGCGTCCCCCGGACAGGGAAGCATTTCGCACGAAAGAGGAACGCGTCCGTCAGTAGCTGCTCGAGGGACCCTGCAAGATTCAGTTCCACGCCCTCCGGCTCGGTCGGATCCAGCACAGGGGCAAAGATCTTCATAAATGCATCTTGCACTTCTTGCACGTGAGCGGGGACCCACGACTTTCGGTATACATGGTCCTTCTCCGTCATATGCTGAACGGCGCACTGGTGAATTACTTCAAGGGTTCCGTTGGGGGCTGATGGGGGATTCGACATCAATGAGGTTGGTCAACTCTGCTGAACGTGTGAAAGGCTCGACTCACTGCTATTCTCGATCACCTGTTGATAGCCCCTCAGCATGTAGCCCTCGCAGTGCAGTGCCGCCCAGCAGTTGGAATAGAAGACGCGCGACCGCACGAAAGTGAAGATGGTCGCGCGCAGTGCCTCCCTGGGAGAGGAAGTGAGCAAGTGTACATCGTCCGCGAGACTCTCCTTGATTAGTGCCTTCAGGCCCGTGCTGTCTGCGTCTGAGCTCACCAATCGCCGGAGCTTGTCCTTGCACACGGCGCGGGAGAGATAGGATGCCGCGTTCGATACATTCTGCTGGAGCACCTTCATCTCATCCCAGAAGTTCGGGATGGACTGGTGGGTTCCATCCGTTCGATCTCGAAGCACATGCTTCAATTGTCGTGAGGAGTCGAGCTGCATCTCCAATTCCCTGATTTGCGCGGTCTTGTGGTTCACCTCCTTGTCCCTCTTCTCCAACTCGGCACTGAAGAAAGATGAAATTCCATTTATTCTCTCCTCGGTATTCTCCGATGGGGGGAGGATTCCTGCTCGCAGCATTTCTTCGTACTGATTTCGGGTCTGGTTGAGTTTCTTGTTCGCGTGCCGCAGGTCTTTCAGGGTCTTTGCTAGCTCCTTGGTTATGCGACTATTCTCCAAAACTAGGAGATCATTCTGCCGTTTCAGGAGTTGGTGCTGTCCCTTGAGCAAACAGGTTGGTCCACGCCCTGGATCATTTTCACTAGGGCTCCCCGTGAACTGGCCAGCGGGAGACCGGTGCTTACGCTTTTTTGCCGAAGTACGATATTGTTCAGCGCGTTTTGTGTTCGTGAACTTGGCACCCACGGGGTTTGACAATTTAGTGGTCTGGGCAGTACAGGTTTCAGCCAAGGTGAAGAGGGCAAAAGTGGTCCGGTGGACGGTAAATGTACCTCGGGAGGAATGGAAACCTCGATGGTGGGTTGGGCCGAGGATGGCGGTTCAGCGCGTTTTATTTTCTGTTCTGCAACGGACTTCTGGCTAGCAGTCACGGCCTGTTTCTTATGCCCCTTCCGTTGTTTTTGGCTCGTACTCCTGGTTGTTGGAATCTTTAACACCGTCTCTTGGACCCTCGACGAGCATGGCGGTGGAGGAGATTCCCCTTGGCGTCGTGTCTCATGGCGGCCATGGGCAACCGAGCCAGCTTCCCAGAAGTCCTCAGAGATAAAAGAGATCGGGGAGGATAATGAACTTTCGCTGCTCATTGTCATGAAAGAGAGATGAGATGATTGTCGCCTGCTGACTTGGTTTCGTCAGTTGCCGTAGACGGTCGCGGCGAGCTGGGAGAGGTCGTTAAGTCTTAAAGCCTTACCGCTGAAAAAAGCCTCGTCTGGAGCCTTTGTCTTGGACCACCAACCGGGGCGCAGGCTTTCAAATCATGATGCAAGCTGAGTGGGGAAAACAAGGTCGCGTATCATCGCAAATTAAGAGGCCATCCAGCCTGGCCAATGGTTCCGAGGCGTGAAGCCGCGGCGCAGTCAACCTGTGCTGGTTAGTGCACGATAGTGTTCAGCGCTAACAGATAATCCCTGCCACCAACACAGCCTTGCCTGCCCCTGAGTCTGTATCTATCATCGATGGAATAAGAAAAGGGCAGAACAATCCCCACCGTCAGGTGAGCCAGAAGCTGTTTCCCGGGTTGCGGCTGCCGCGATCACTTTTTGACAGGTGAGTAACGCAGAGCTGTGGTTATAAATGCAGGTATCGGCATGCCGTCGAAGATTGTCCGTTTGAAGACCCCAAGGCAGATCAAAATGGATACGCAAGATATCTTGACTCCACCAGGTGGCCAGCCCCGTGCGTTAACCCCCGCTTGGAGCAATGGAGATACCGAGCCAGTCTTTGAATCCACTCGAAAGCAGGCGTCACCTCAGGACAAATCACGCTTCATTGTGGGGATAGACTTTGGCACTACGACCACCTCGGTGGCCTACTGTAAGCTGGCAGCCGGTCAACGTCCACTGAGGGTACCAAACGACGAGATCAAATGCATCCGTCAGTGGCCGTATGCAGGCGAGTATCAGAACAGCGCGCTTGTGCCCAGTGAAAGCCTATACTCTGACGATGACTTCTCGTGGGGCTATCGAGTGCGCGACCAGCTGATGGCCGCACACTACGATGACGCTCCGGGGGTACATGACGCGTCCAGCCGTGCGATCCGGTTTGCCAAGCTGCTGTTCGTGGATGAGGAACGGCTGGAGGAGCAGTTCCTACAAGAGCAGAAGAACACCATCGCAAACCTCCACACTAGCGTGTTCGACGTGGTCAAGGACTACCTTCGCCCGATCCTTTGGCATACCATAGATACACTCAGAGATGCGGAGGAGGATTTCGATGACACCAGTGAAGTGGAGTTGTCCGTCGCAGTCCCTGTCGGCTGCTCGTTCATCTCCTCTGTCGCGCTGGAAACCATCCTGACAGATCTCGTCGAGGAAAGCCAGCTCGAATCAAACTTGGACCTATACCTGATCCATGAGCCTGAGGCTGCCTCGTCATTTCTCATAGATACTTTGCTTCGCCCGGACGAGCTCTCGGTTCGTACATGTTTCTCGGGCTTCCAATGAGCGTGAATGAAGGCTACTGACATCGGTTGGCAACTGCAGGTAGAAGGGGCCTTTATGGTTTGCGACGCAGGAGGTGGTACCGTTGTGAGTCAAATTCAAAACCTGTTATCCCCTGAAAGGCAGACGACACTGTGCTCATTCCTTCGGCTTCATAGGATGTAATCACCTACACCGTCCTTCAGGAGAAGCCATTACGCCTAAAAGAGATTGTTCCACCAGCAGGTGAAGTTGTTCATACTCTCACAAAGAGATGTGGCTAATTGTAGTGCGAAGGTGCAAGTTGCGGTTCGGTCTACGTCAACCAGGCGATGGAGCAAGATCTGACTGAGCGTCTGCGCGACGTTAAATTGTGTCAGGGGATTATCAGAGAGCGTGAGATCGAGCGAATGTTTCAAGACTTCGAAAACAGGCTGAAGAGAAACTGTAACTTGGCGCAGGACCGCCTTGATGGCTATGAATATCTTGATCTCCCTGGCTTGAAAGCGGACCCTGAGAGGGGCTTCAAGACAGGAGCGGTAGCAATTCCTCGGTTTTTACAGCCCCCTCCTCCCAGGCTTCCCGCTGGCCACTTGACACAACCGCTAATCTGTACATCATAGACGAACGCTGAAGGAGTATTTCAAGAAAAGCTTGGAGGGAACAGCCAGCCTTATCCAGGGCCAGCTTGATTCAGCGGGGCGAAAAGGTTATGTAGTCAAGGTACATTTGCCGGCCAGATCGTTTGACAGACCATCGATGATGCTCACCGGACGATAACACAAGCAGAAAGTACTCATGATAGGAGGCCTTTCCCAGTCCAAGCCTCTTCGCCAGTTCCTCAAGGAACGATTTGCCTCCTTGCGATTGAAATTCATCTTCCCGACTGAAAGGTACGAGAGCATCCCCAGACGCGATTGCCCCAGTCCGATCTAATTGAGACCTTCAGCGAGGCCGGAACCCTAGTGTCGCGGGGATGCGTATATCGTGCCATCGATAAAAGCAATGGGCCACATCGACAGATCATAGCCAACATTGGCTACACACAGAGTGAAGAATATGATCCAAAGTGCGCTGCTCACAGGGCTGTTCGGCCGGAATTCCAGATTTTAGTGAGACAACGATACGTCTATAACTGCATCAACTGGATCTTCAAGAAGGTAAGAGAGGGAACCAATGGAACCCGGCTTGTCCAAAGTCGCCAGGTCTTGATATTGATCCCTATCTCCTTTCAGGGAGACATCATGAACCAATCTCAGTGGATCGTCGGCAACTTTCATCAGGTCTTCGAGCCTGATGAATCGTTGATCGTGAATCATACACTCTATTATTCCGAGCAAGACGATGCCGAAGATCACTACCCGGAGAGCCATCCGAAAAACGAGGGTAAGTACTCTCCTCAACGCTGGTCTTCGAGTTTGAAAGACACATGTCTGTCTTCTTTTCTTTGCACTGACCCCCATGTCATCAGGCTGTGTGCCTATTGGGACGGTAGTCGCGGATTTAGACGTGTTAAGGGATCAGGGTCTAATTAGACCAGCTACGAGGTACAAGAGGAATACCGTGCCCACTCTCCGCATTCATTATGAGCTTCACATAGCGGTAAGCGGCCGAAGCATTCGATTTAGTGTGGTATATCCGCCAGGTAGTCAGAAGGAGCGAGGTAGTACCCAAGTCAGCATCGCAGCGTCATTCGAACCAAGCACGATGTGATAGCGTCAGCTTTCCGAGAGATATAGCCTCATTACTTAGTTGTCAATACAACGCTTTCAGTGCCTTATTTACAAATATGGGCCATAGGCAGAATGGAACAGTGGGGAAGGAGTTCACAATGGGGTGTGTAGTTGCACGGTCTGGCAAGAGAGGTATGGGAGCTTGGCAGGCGAGAAAAGGGCGAAGTCGCAGGCATATGACCCCACTTGACATGAAGTACTAATATCTAGGTGGAACATTGACCTAAGGAACACTGTATTCAACAGACACATGGTTGCGCTCTCAACACTATGATCACCGACGATGATGGAATCCTGACGCGGATTTGAGATCCGGAAGACGAGTCATCGTTAAGGCCCATTCATCTATGACTCTTCCAACAGTTCAACCTTTTCCTTCTTATCTCTGCTTCTCAAAGTGTCCTTCGACAGTTTCTTTAACCTACTGCATCAGCAAACATGAAATCGTTCTTCGTAGTTATAAGAAGACTATGGGGAGCCCTTTTCCAAAGGCAAAGACAGCGATGCAGATTCTTCCTGATCCCAGAGTTACTAGAGATTATTCTCCTTCATTTCAACATGCGTGAGTTGCTCTTGTCATCTCGCGTCTGTCGCCATTGGTACAATGTCATCCAACAATCCAGCCGAATCCAGAGAGCATTGTTCTTCCGCCCCAGCCTCCCGCGCGCCGCAATTGGTGAACCGGGGCTGAAGAACCCACTGGTGCGGGACCAGATATGGGACGAATTCTTCGTCCGCGTACTCGACTCGCGTCGGCGACCCGGGAACGAAAGACACCATCTCCCGAAGATGAGATCCCGCAAACGGGAAGAGGCGTATCTGCGCCCTGAAGCCAGCTGGAGGAGGATGCTGCTGCACCAGCCGCCTACTTCATTCATCCGGTTCCTGGATCCAGACTGGTGCTGGTCGGTGCCGGGGATCCCATACAGCCATGCATATTGGTCGCAGCCGGCGGCGGAGCATGGGGCCATCACGCTGGGCGATCTGGAGCGGCTGATCGACGCCGGGGCGATTGTGCCATCGGCCAGGCCGTTCGTTTGCTGTCCGGAGGTCATACGCCAGCCGGTCCGGTGGCGGGAGGCGTACGGCTGGCTATCCGAAGGCGACAGTTACCGCCGGGCGTTCGTGGACCGATACCTCGAATGCTACGACTTGGTCATTTATGTGGACGATGAGACTAACTGGCACTGGCAACGGACTTCCACACCCACGCCGTTCACGGATTGGGTCATGTCTGCGGGTCTGAAGCTGCGGAGGCTGGAGACCCCCGCTGAAGCATTGATCAATGGGAAAGAGGGTGACAAGGTGTATCGAGAATTGGCACTTCTTCGTGGCTTCTAACATAGCACGGCATTGCTCGCTCTGTGGCGGATATTGAATTGCTTGCTTCAAGTAAAAGGTGTTTTACAACTTTTGTTCGTGATGTGAAGCCCTTGGTCGGTTGGCCGCTAGTGGTCAACTATACCACCCGCAATACTGGATGGTAACCACTAAGCACACTCATCGTATGCCAGATACTACTTACATTGAAAAAGAATAGCTATTGTAAGAAGCAGTGTTTCTTAATCCAATGTTATCATTTTTATAACAATATCCACCAAGTGCTTTCAGATGTCTTGACTTTGGAAACATATGATTGCAGGTATTCTCCAACAGCAATTGCTACCAACGTTGCTTTGGGGCTCTAGACGATAGTTATAGCTTTCAGGATTAGAATTGAATCGAGGTGCTTGAGTAGTGTATCTAGAGATCTGCTTACAAACTCTTTGCATTGAGATCCACACTACTGTATGACACCTTTCCTGTACCTTACATTGTTAGTCGGTGTGAGCGGTAAACCAGCCCTAAGCACCAGTGTTCGAGCAGAAAAGCACGAACTCCTCTGTCCACATAGGCTGTAACCTCGTTAGAAACCTCGAAGTGAATGAGAATATGATAATGCGATTTCAATTATCCTTTAACTAACGCTCTCACCCTGACTCAGAAACGTGCATCCCCTGCGGGCCGAAAGACCGCGCGAAGCTTCCCGTCTCAGGATTCTCCGCCCACGCCCGGTACGCACTCCAATGGACCACCGGGGACCGCTCACACATCTCTGACCAGCTCATGTTCGCAATATTCACATTCACATAGACCCCCTCCGCCTCTTCCAGACTCCTCCGCTCGTACCCATACCCCGTGGAGAGGTGTCCAAACGAACGACCCGCCCCGTCATGAAACCAGACATCGCCGCCCTCGTGCGACGCGACGATGATAGCCTCCCAGTCCTCCCGCTCATCGGTCGGCTCCATCGCATCCGCCAGCGTTCGGCGGTCAACAGCCAGGAACTGCAGCGGCGGGCGGTTGTTGCGGTGGGCGAATTCCCCCGAGGTCTCGAAGTACGCCAGCAGGCCCTGCATATCCGGGGAGACCAGTCGGTCCGCGACATCAACCCACATGTACTCCTGGTCGGGGCACGGGAACAGTTCCGTGCGGATCTGGCGGAGCTCGGATGGCGTCATGCGTTCGAGCACGAAGATCACGTCGCTGCCCAGGCTGCCAGCGATGTCGTCCGGGTCGACGATGGGTTCCCCGCCGCCGCTGTGGGCGTGCAGGTCGTACATGGCCGGGTTGTAGCGGTAGGGGCCCCGGGGCATGCGGCTTGGGGTCCGGGAGTGTGGGTGCCAGGCGGCCGTCCAGAAGTCTTGGACCTTCTCGAAGGGTAGGATCCCCAGCTCCAGGCGCTTGTCCCGCGGGTCGAACACGCTGTACCCGCTGGCGCCCCTGGCGCGGACGACGTGGTAGCCTTCGTCGTCTTCGTCGATGAAGAGCGCGAAGGCCTCGTCGATCTCTGGATGGCGGATCTTCAGCGCCTGGAACATGCGGTAGAGCTGCGCGCGGGAACAGGGCTCTTGGTGGGGCGGCCAGTTGTGGATGATGGTCTGATGGCCGATCATCGTCTCGAGGTTCTCCTGGACGACTGGCGGGAGATGGATGAGTGAGATCAGAGTTGGGGTGGACGGGTCGAGCTGTAGCCCTGATAGATGCGGTGGGAGGACGCCGTTGGGTTCCTATAGCCTTCTCTTAGCATGGTTCCGTTGATTCATGGTCGCAACATGGGTCTTGGATTACCTTGAATGTCGGTTCTTGGCTCCGCTCGGGCTGGATGCGGGGGTATGTCGGTGGTAGTATGCCACCCTCAGCCACCACGGCTAGCAGCATATTGGCCCGGCTGAGCGGCACCCGCGCAGCTTCGGGGGAGGATTCCTTGGACGCCTTCCAGGCGATGATCGCTGTATGATCTATGCGAGACTGGTCGTCGATGAATATGACTGGATCATTCCTGAGTATCATGAAGATCACCGATGTTGGCGGCACGCAGTCCATCAACCAAGGGATCTCAACCATCTGCCGCAGTTCCGTCGAAGGACGATCTGGCCAGTTTTCATCCACGGAGCTGAGTTCTGTCATCATCGCAACACGCTCTGTTTCCTCCATGGGGCAGATAAAGACCACCTGCCATGTCGGAGGTGCAGTCCCGCGGAAACGAGAGAATTCAAAGAGGCTGGGGAGCAGCCAGGATGGAGGCGTCATGGTTGTCATCTTGGCTTGCCGCTTGTATCGAAGCAAACGGGCTTCTTAGAGATTGACCAAAACAAAATTCAATTTCCAGAAAATGATGAGGGGAGATTACTAAGCTAGCTAGGCAACAGTGGTTTAGTGTCTCGATTCTGCCTGTTGAGAATGAGTCGGGCCCTTGACAGGAAACACATAAGATAAGGAACTCGCGTGCTTAGGGCTATTGTAAATGAGTTCCTGAGTTGCCCGGGACAGGTGAGCATCCGAGTATATGTAAATGACTTGCGTTTGTTTCACTTCATCTAACTTACAGTAGTGGAGAAAGCCTTTTGTCCCCTGGGCGCGCATTCCTCCTTTGCGCCCCACTTTCGCCAAGAAAGTTGTGTCAGATCAGTCACACTTCAAAGTGTACAGCAGAGCAACAGTCTGAGCATCAATTAGGGCTGCCTTTTTGGTGGCGGGGAGCGAGCCGCTCTGCCGCGGTGGCCACTGCAAGGTCTGCCGTCTGCCGCTACGGTATGTCACCACAAGCGCGGTGCAGAACATGGCGTTGTGCTCGTTCACAAGAGAGAATTGCTTCAATAGTGGCAGTTTGACTCCCCATCACCTCCTCTGTCCACCGCCATATTCACGTGCCCTGGTCCCATCCCACCTGTCTGTGACACATATCTGCGCAGCCTTTCGGGCACTGGGAGACATATATCAAATCTTAGATTGAGTCCACTCCCCAAACCCACATTCCAGAACAGTAATCCAACCTCGAAAACGCATAGCAGAATTTCTAGAACCCAATCAACAACTTTGCCCTGCCATCTTGTCACACAGAAGAGACGAACCTGAAGCGAGATAATTTCCACAATCTTCCTTTCCGAAATTTCCTGCCTGACACGCTTCCACAGCTCGTCGCCGACCTCCGGCTACTAGATGATGGTTTCCACAAACGTCAGGAGCGCAAGATCTCTCGGGTTGAACCCCGCCTCGGGACTATGTTTCCCGTAGATGAAGTAGCTGAACTGTTTCGATGATGCTGCCAGCGCGTACTGCTGTGCTCTGGTGACTCCAGCCACGGGCACATGGTGGGTCCATTCGTAGGTCGACTGGAATTTGGCTGTCGTTAGCATGATCACCAGCTCGCGGTCGCGGTCTGCGAGGGACAGGTGTTTGAATTGTGCATTGCCTAGGGCGGTCCAGTGGTCGACGGTGGCGGCACTATGGAACAGCAGTTTGATGATGTTGAGAGTGGGAAAGGATTTGGCGTGCAGGGTGTGGTAGTTGGGGTAGGGTAGGCGGGACATCGCTTGTTCTAAGTATGGGTCGTTTCTTAAACGATATTTCCCTTGCTCTCGGTCTGTGGAATAGATCTTGAGATCAATACAAAGTTTTCTGGTGGAATGTTTTGGACTGTCTTGGAGTTCCGATACATAGTCCTGCTCGCTGTATGTTCAGCCCAGCGCTGTAGGGAGTTACCGAGGTGAAGTATATTGTATAAAATTATCATCCTCGGGTTTACAAAAGTGCAAACCTGTTCTGGTGCCGATTCTTACGATGGATCACACGCGACCCTCAAAAGTCTATGTTTACATGAAGAGTGACGGTGAATGGTCATATTACATCTGTATCTCTTGATTCAACAAGGTTGCTGCCGGCCTTGATACAAGGTCTGGGCCAGAACTATATACTGGATCATGAGACTAAAGATCCAATCAGACATCAACAGCTGGCCTGCTGGCCCAATGGTAAGGCGCTTGACTACGAATCAAGAGATTGCAGGTTCGAGCCCTGCGTAGGTCATTTGTTTTTGTCTTTTTTCCTCTCATCCGGTCGAGCTTGTTATGTGGACCCTCTGTTGCGGGACCTTATCTCTGATCCGCACAAAGTGTGCAGCAAGAATAAGGCCATTGCTTGGCGACTACAACCTGGGGGGTCATAACTTGGAGTTATTCCGCAGCCAATCTCTTTTTCTTAACTGCTTTTGTTCTACTCCCTGTCTGTCTGGCCTGGAAGCATGCCAATTTTCAATCTTTGCAATCAGACGATTACAGCGATTCGCAGTAGACTGTGGAGCAAGAGCGAAATGGTCCGTGTAACACCCGTGACTGATCAAGATTGCATCTCGGTATATGTTTACAGGCGCATTTTGTGAAGGGCTCGACAGCAGCAACCCACAAACACAATCACAGCGCCGAGAGTACCATAACAAAGCCTATACGACCTGAGTTTCAATCGGAAAATGAACCGGTTACGTTTGTCTTCCTCTGGTTTGGCCAGTGTCCTGCTCCCACGGTATCCGAATTCAAGATGGAAAACTCCCAATACTAAGCTCCGTGCTCATATTTGGTACTCCAATATTGATCATCCAAAAGCTAGGTAAGGGCAGGCCAATCGCCGATATTTAGATATCAATACCAGTGTTTTCACTTCATAAAGGACAGGTAGGTGCTATACATGCATCCGAGTTCGCGCAGACGAGGGTCACCTAGCTAGCGCCGGAGGGCAGCCCTAGCCCCCGCCGGAGGGCTCACTCACCACCCCAACTCCGTCGGCGCCGGAGTCGCCGCCGCGGGACCCTCTCCGGGCACCGCCGCCACCCGCAAGAACCCCTGGACCTCCGCGTCCGCGTCCGCGTCCGGCTCCGGCGTGGCGGTCACGGTGATGACCTCACGATCCAACGGCACCATGGTCACGGGCGGGATATACCAGCTCTCGTCGCACACCGACCAGCCGGGGTCGATCTGCCGGACCTCCTCGGGCAGCAGCACCCACGGCCGATAATCGTCGCGGATGATGGTGCAGCTCGGGTCGTAGAGCGGGCACTGCTGGCCGCCCCGGTACTGCGGCCAGGGGATCAGCGACTGCGTGTCGTTGTCGTTGCCCCTTCCTTCCAGGTGGTGGGGCATGAACTCGGCAAAGTTGAAGGGGTAGGCGGTGCCCACGGTGGGGTATTTCGCGTTGCGGTGGTTGCGGACGGAGGACAGGGTGGCCGGGTTGATGGAGAGGATCTCGTTGCTGTGGGAGACGCCGCACTGGGAGCCCGGGTGGGCGCGGCGGTTGCTCCAGGCGTAGATGGAGGTGAAGGAGAGGTAGACGGTCGGGGAGATGAAGGTCTCGCCGTTGACGATGGCGGTGCTGGGCCCGGAGGGAGAGACGGTGGTCCCGTTTTGCTGGCACAGGTCACCGTCGGCGGTGGTCACGGGCCAGTAGAAAAGGGTGGCTGTGCCGGGGAGGAAGTGGCACGCTGAGCAGGGGTTTTCCTCCGGATAGGAGCGTGTGGTTGACGGGCACGAGTACGGCGGGATCGGGCTGTTGGTGTCGCCTGGGGGTGCCGCGGTGATGGTCTCGTAGTAGGAGGCTTCCAATTCAGAGTAGGTGGACCAAATGGGGATGCATTCGCTAGTCTGCAGGGTGCAGTCTGGGGTTGGGTCCGGGGGATTGCGGTATAGGGTTTCGGTCTCGGTGAAGGTTTGGTACCCTTCGGAGCAGGGACTGCTAGCGTCGGGGAAGTACTCGGTCGCAGTTTCGCGCGGGCCCACCGCACGCGGGATCCCGTCGCAGAGGGTGGTAAGAGGGCCCGTGTGGGTGTTGGACCAGGCTTCGGGGGTCACCGAGGTGCGGCAGGCCCCGGCGCTGGTGGCGTACGATCCGGTGGACTCAATCGTCGCGGTTGGGCCAAGGGAGCGGAGCTCCAAGGAACGACTGGCCCATTCGATCCAAGCCGCATTGCAGGTGACTACCGCAGCATCGGGGCCAGTTGTAGGTCCGTAGAAGTAGTCTGTGGATGTAGGCCAGAAGATCGAGGTGTTGAGGGTGATGAGCCATTGGCCGCTGGTGGTGGCTGTTTCAATCAGTCAGCTGTGATTGATACGAGTAACTGGATTAGGGCTAGAGGGCGGGCATACCATCTTGGCCGGCGGCGAGGCCGAACAGCAGCGCTATGAACAGCATCATATACATGATGTATGTACAATACAATTCACCAGTGAGGCGTATCCATTGAGCAGAGACTCAGCACAATTTATACCTGTGCGCGAGGAAGTGAAGAAAAAAGAAAGGAGAAGAGCCCACCTCCAAGGTTGCATAGCATGCACTCTGCAGATACTCTGCGGGGCCACGCGCTTGGCACAGCTGGAGATTGGTCTCTGTGTGAGACAAGCGCAGACCCTGTGTGTCAGGGACAGAGTTTAGAGGACAGGTTCCAGCCAAGGGCAGACCTCAGGTAAGCGGCGACCCCGACGAAACCTGAAGTATTGGCTTGGCGTGCGGGGTCTTTCTGTACCTGAAGTTGTGAGCTCGAGTTACTGACTCAAGCTGATTACTGATCGGTGATCAGACTATCCGGGTGCATGCAGCCTTGCAAACCAACCAGCAGCTGTATCTATCATAGAAAGGTTGGTGATCAACTGAGTATAACAGGGTCCAATAAAGATCTATGCAGGTATGGTGTGGTAGCTGAGATATTACACCCACTAGCATGATATTACTGGCTTTCAGAAGACTAGCCTTGAAAGCTCAAAGCTGTATTAGATGCATGCTGTTGACTTTTGCCCTGACGCTAAAATCTCACCCTTAACTCAACCGCAGCACCTGGCTTGCCTTAGCCAACCCACGAAATCACTTTGCAATTCATGGATGCCATGGAGACCTGCTCCGGTCCAGGCTTCTAGGGCTGCCTGTGTAGTGCAACCACCTACAGCGTACAATCCGGATCGCAGCTCAGAAGAGGTAATTTTGATAGCTTGCGACATATGTGAATCTAATCAGAGTATTCAGCTTGCTTTCTCTGATCTAGCCTGTCCACGGGACACTCCCAACCTCAGCCATCGAACTCTGTGGGTAATGCGCAATACGAGATGCATGAGGTAGCATCAGCAGGTACAATTTTTGACCATGTCGCCAGCCAAACAGCCCTTGCTCCGGCCAACTAATGCATCTTTCTGATGCTTTAGGGATTTAGTTTCCACGTAGAACGTCTGCTAATGCAGGTGATTAGTGAGCCCACCTCCCATGTCTCAGTCTGCGCGGGATTTGCCGACTCTTAATTTTAATATCCGAGGTGCTTGTCTTGGGAACGCTCTTAGGAACGCCGAAATGGCTGTACATGGTTCTGCTTTTACAGGAAAGATCTAAGTGTAGACTCGTTACTAGTGGGGAGAGGTTTAGAATATGGCCTTGCTTTTAGGGTTCAACAAGGGTGGTTTAAGAGGGACGGCGGGTGCCGATAGTAGATTCCCTCTTGGGTGCTTCTGGCGCCCCAGAAAACCTACTTGCCCTAGCAGGCTACCGTCGGCTTTCACCCCTCCCCAATCCCAGATCACAGATTAATTGTTCTCCCCTGGCCCTAGCTTACCATCATCTGACGGCCATATCACAGACAGTCCACGCTCTTTCCTCAAGGACCAAGTCTCCGTCTTCCATTCCTCAAAGCTAGATAGCCTCTGTTCTCTGACCAGATGACCCATCGTGTCCCCTGGATCGGTAAAATGTAGACGAGCCAACCAAGCAGCAAGGTCGAGCTCGTCAACCAGCTGCCCGTCCACAAGCATCCGGATGGTCTCAATATGCTCGTACAGAGGCTGTCCGTACCTTGCAGTGTGATAGCTCATTTTGAGGAGACCTCCTATCTCCATCCTCAAATATTGACAAAGCCACTGGGGACGCGTTTTATACGACGACAACGGCTCCAAACCTGCGCTAGGACTCCTCATGTCTCGACCGCAATGCCACCACCGCCAATGCTTGTATGAAACATCTTCGGGCGGGAAAGAAAGTTCCAGCTCTGCCGACTGGAAGTCCAGGACCAGTGTTTTGATCGCGACCCCTCGATCCTGGAAATCCTCCGTGTCGTCGCGACATCGATGAGCGGAAGACTCAGCATCAGGCTCCTCCCCTTCGCGCTTCTTCTCCCCCACGGGACCATAGCGGAGGAACCGCTCCAGGGCCGCGTAGAAGGACCAGTGGAAGCCTAGCCGGCCGCCATCGCCCAGTTGGCAGCGCGCGGTGCGCTGCTCGATGATGTGACCGAACAGACGCACGTTCGCGTAGAGGGTCGAGACATGGGTTGTGAGACAGGGCACGGACAGCCACGTCAGGTAGAGCTCCAAGTCATCTTTGACAGAGATATCGAGAGTATGGTCAACTCTCCTGTGCTCGAGGATGTGGAGAGTCTCGGTGGATAATTGGTGATTGGTGAGAAGAAGCGATAGACAATCTGACGAGCTGGGCTTGTTCCTCTGCGTGTAATACACTCCCGAGGTCCATGCTTTGTAACTCATATCGCGGTATTTGACCCCATCGGATGTACAAGGGGCCACGGGCGGGCTGAGCGGGGTATAGAGCACATGTTCGATGATGAGCTTCCGCAGCTCAACCGGGATGTTGAGGAACAGAGACATGACTGGGATCAAGTTCTTTGGTGTACTTCCGAAGAAAAAGATACAGGGCTGCCAAGATGGGTAAGTATGTAGTTGATACCGACCGGCTCGATCGCTGCAAAACAGTTGCGGGCAGTGTGTTATGTTGATACCGAAATCAAAAGGGAAATGAAAAATATCCATGTGCGCTACCTCACCGCCTTGCATGGTACAAATTTATAAAGTCCAAAATTTGGGGCATACTGCCAAGCCACTACTGTTCACTGTCGGTGGGTTAAAAGTCTCCATTTCTTTAGTTCAAGGAGGTGAGCCTTTCCGTGACTCATGAACTTTGATTCTCCCTTAGAGAACCTTTCTTTCGCTTTCTAAGATGCTTACAAAATAGTCGCGGTAATTTGACGAAGCCGGAGGGCGGAGGCTTTGCCTGCTGTCAATAGGTCTCTAGCAGTTGTTATTGACACTCACTGCATGCTTGATACTACACACGTAATTACTGGTAGTGTACGCCACGATAGTAAAGTAAGACTAACACCCCAATGCTTTAGTCAATCAGCCTTATAAGGAAATCTCTTGGTATTAAGACACTCATTAGTACTTCCTCTAAAATGACGCCAACAGTAATTTCTGCAGTCCCGAAGAACCCTAAGAACGCTTAATAAGAGACGTTCTGCAATGATTCTTTGATAATGCGCTACCATAACCTCGAGTTGGGGCTAGGGTAGATAGAGCTGGACAGCGGGCTCGCCGGTGCTAATGCGCACTAAGCGTGACAAGCAATGTTCCCCTGGAGAGGGTGTCCGTTGTCAAGATATCCTTTTGACCAGGATCGATGGATTCGCTCATACACATATAGTACTCCATCAAGTAAGACACTAGGTGAGATAGAACCGCACAGTCCCCCCGTCCCAGGTATGGTAGGAGCTACCACCGTCGTTCCACTCGGAGGCATCCTGCACGCTGTGGCCAGAAGTGATTCCGGCGTTGAAACTCCCATAAGACCAGTAGCACGAGGCTCGGCCGCTCCCGTCGCTCCAGGACCAATAGGTCCGGCATCTAACCGAGAAATCCCCTTTCATGTGCAGGTAGCATACGTCGCCATACCCATAGTTACCGGCGGAGCCCGACTTCCAATCTCCTTCCACGTCATCCCAGTCGTGAGCATTGTAGAGAGTTGTCCCTGGGCGGCAGTTATGGATTTCTATCCACAATTCCGTGCCATCGGACAGTTGTGAATGGATCCCAGTCGCCCCGCCCGCGGGCGCCTGGTGCCGCAACCTCTTAATCTTCGCGTGGAGCTCGTGCGCGAGATCTTCATTGCCAGCCTCGTTGGCTTTGTGCAAGTCGTCTGCGGCTTGCTTGAGCTCAGCTTGAACGTCGTCGGCTGAGGTGGAAGCTTCCTGGTCTGAAGGAATGGATGCATGAGCACTCTCCACTTGGCCTCAAGAGCTCATATTGGGGACAAAGCGTGCGGCTTTTTGGGGAAAGACGTACCGTGTTGCTGGGACGCTTTTGCCGAGACCTCCCGTTGCTCTGCAGTCGGCTTAGACGTAAGACCATGTCGCTCGGCTTCTTCCTTGCATCTCTGGAACAGAGCCTGGTGGTTGGCCTTGAGTTCGTCGGCCAATTGGATGTTACCGTCCTGAACAGCCTGGTCGATGGCTGCTAGGTTCTGGCTCACGGCCGCCTGTGCCTCTTGCAGCGACTCGGGCATATTGTTGGGCTCTATATTCACACAAGTTAGAGATCACAGGCTTCCAGAAGAGACTTGATACTGCGCTACTTACGACCGTGTGGAACAGGAGCAATAGTCATTTTGATGGTCAGCCGATGAAAGCTTGACTTCTTTAAAAACAGAAGCCTGAGACTAGATGCGGTGTTGGAATGAATGATGGGCGAGCACAGTAGCTTGCCGTGGTATTTATACTCACCAAGACACGTACTCATTCATGGGCGCTCAGGTGTAGGGGCTACCAGCCTGGGGATCTCGATCAATCCCATCAACGGGACCAGCCCCTCCAAGTTAAGTTCTGGACCGCTGCGCCTCAGCCACAGCTGAATGCCGTTCTTGCGCTTGCTTGTCCTAAGGCAGCCGCCGAAGACAACCCCCGAACACGCGGCACCACAGAGCCATGACTACAATGCAAACCAGGCTCTCGCTTGTGACGCAGGCATGGTGCCCAAGACTGTTTTGAGACCGGTTGAACTCATTTGGCTGGCTGGCTGAAGTCTTCAAGTCTGCTTTTCAGTGAGCCAGCCACACACGGCTGGGCATCCACAAACACCTCGAATCACCTGACCAGATTCGGCGATAGCCGAGCCCTACATCGTACCAGGTGGGGTGGGTGTGCATGATGCACGATGCCCAACACCTCCAGTCAAGCTCTATGATATGTCGAGGAGGGCTCGTGTGGCTGTCTTGGCATGTCAATAGTCGCACCTTTTAATCATGCACATCTCCGCAAAGGAACAGCAAATTGCGGTACCGAGTCACTGGCTGAAGCTTTCCGCAAGCATTAGGAGTTTATGACTACGTAGACAAACCCAGCCCCAAAGCAAGCCAATAAGTGTTGTCTCATCGATGGCGTGTGTCGAGTTGATACCTCGACCGCTAGCCAGCTGCAGCAACAACCCTTCCAATGACCATTTTTCCTTTAACTTTCTGTAATGATATGGTCTTTAGTCGCACAACCCGATATTTATGTTTAGATTACCCTCAAATTGAGAGCCAGCAGCCCGTGTCGTCCTGAAAGCTGGGCGCAATTGAGTCTTGTCGTGACCCGCGTGCAATCGCAACCGCCTGTCAGCGTCGAAGTCCCGTTCAGGGAAAAGAAACTCGCTCCGGTCCCGAAGAGAATGTAGGAAGAAGTGGAGCAGTGGCTGATCGACTATCGAATTTTGTCTCCGCAGAATGGAACGAATAAGAATCACTCTGTGGCCGGCGCACCGCGATAGGACAGCGCCAAGACGATGTGGGACCTGCAGCCAGTCCGGAGGTTAGCGGAGTGACTGTGGCAGTGCCTCTATCGAAGTCATCTAGAATACAAGAGCACCTAGCTTATTCATCTGCAGGTAGTTAACCGCTAGTTAGTTAACTATCGAAGCGAAGGACGATTGACTCAGCAGCACCTCTCCCTGCATGGTCTGTGGCCTCAGGCCCCCAAGGCAGGCGTCCGTAGGCTATGAAGTCGTAGCCATGTGCTAGGAGTCCAGGATCAAAACTGGGGCTTGTCTATCGTTACTTCCATTTTTCATGATTCTTTCAGATACTAGAGCTCCCGTGGTCGGGTTCGGACCGGCCCGCGGGACCCTGCAGGGTGATCCAAACCTCCGGCACTCGTCTGGACAAGGTATGAGGTTTGGCACTCCGAGGCAGACCAGCGACCAGCGGGTTTGTGAAAATCTCCGTAGCTGGAACTGTAAAGCTTCCCCGAGAGAAGTAGATTCGAGTCTACCGGAGAGATTAGGTCGTTAGAGAGCGCTTTCGAGGGACAAGGGTAGAATGTTCGTCCATTGATTTCGACACCGAACCTGGCTGGAGCCTTTGCCCTCTTGGCATCGTTGGGTCGATCAGATCCAGATTAGATACACGCACTGACTCTTTAAAAAGGTACTGAGGAGTGATGGCTGCTTCTTACCGCTGAAACTCCAGTGTCTCAACCTTTTTCATTTCCGATCGTGGCACAAAGTGGCGGACATGCTTCTCCACCAAATCCTACCTCTGAGAGGTGGCGTAACCCGTCGCGTTCAGAAGTACTTCAGCCTCGAACCCTGCTTCGTAGAACACCGCGAGTTTCGTGATTGGAGGAGGCGGAGACCCCCTGATTCCAGAAACCCGAACTCTGCAAGTGATTGATCTGAGAATGCTTCTTTGCTGTCTGATCACTTTAAAAAAGGGATGCTTTCATCTCACCGGTCCTGGCCCACCACCTCGACGCAGACGTCGCCAACGAAGGCGCTGACATCACTGTTGAAATAGGTATCTCCCTGCAGCTCATACAGAAAATGACACCGACCAGTAACTACGTTCACCATGCCCTTGGTGTGTGGGTGCTTCGTGATGACACAAGAACCGTCATCTGCAATTTCGGCAATCGGGAACCCCGGTGCCACCAAGCTATTAAGGTCGTATCCGTCGAACCCAGCGAAAGTTCTGCCGGTGACATAGGCAAAGCATTCAATCAGATGCCCCGCAATCAGAGATTTCGCTAGAAGGTCATAGTCCGTCTCAGACCAACCACGCCAGAACCAAGCGGCAGCGATGACAGGACTTGCATCCGCCACCCGGCCGCAGATGACGATGTCCGCTCCACGTCGGAGACCATCCACAATCCCCCGCGCTCTCAGATATGCATAGGCGGAGATCATGGGAATCTTCTTTTACGGGGCGTCCAGGAAGGCGTACGTCAAATCCGGAGGTCTGACAGATGGGTTGCGCGAGTCCAGATGATGCAATTCCTCCTTCGTCGTCGGCATGTGCGGCCCCGGGTCGGGATATAGATCATCTCCGCAGACGTATGCCACCGTCAATTTGTACCCTTTCTCTGAGACCTGCAGTGGACAAATATTTGACTTTGGTTACGAGGGCTTCTTGGAGAGAAAAGGATTCCTAGGCGATAACTACCAATGCGTGAACTTTCAAGGCCAGGGCTTTCGGGTCGAGAGCACCGCCGTTGGTTACCACGCGAATTCTCTTCTCTGCGATCACATTAATGGTCTGTCGGATTCCTTCCCAGGCCGTCTCTTCGTAGCCGGGGTGATTTCCCTCCCTCCAGCCTTTGGCGTTGTTCGCGAGATTGACCTCTTATTTGGTTTCTCGTCTGAGCTTGTGGAAATGTAACCGTGGTTCAAGTTCGTTGTGAACTTACCTGTGAGGTAGTCGCCGGTGAGAAAGTCAACATCACCCATCGTCGCCTGGCGGTACATCTCATATGCAGGGTCACCTACACGAGTGAGATCACAAGGAGAGCATTTCACGGCTCTAGACATTCAGATGCAGACCGTAAGAACCGGAGCGGTTGGCAACTCGAACAGGACGAATATTCATCTGGCGGGACATGATCCTTGGAATCCTAGGATAATGAAAACAAGAATTGTTCAAGGACAGGTGGCTGGCTGGTATTCGAATTAATCTCGTCAGAGGAACAGCAGGTCTTTAAGGAAGAAGTCCACAAAGCCAAACCTAATTCTGCCCTGGAATAATTCCGGGTTTACCGGGTATCTGCCATGAAAACCATGGAAGTACTTAAGACCTCTAATGTCTCTACAGTTCACGGCAAAAGAAGCCCCGCGGGCCGTGGAGTTACGGGCCCGTGGAGCTCCACGGTCCGTGGAAATATACCAACCGTGAAATTGCATTATTTGTTAAGAGAGCAAGAGAATAGAAAAGGGGGGACAAAAGCCCGATGTACACTGACAGTAGTAGCCGAAAATTGAGATTAAGTTATAAGAAGTATTTTATCCTCTCGTTCGGCCCTTAAACTTCCAACCAGTTACACCACCGCCACGGCTCTTTTATGTTAGCAACGATGGCATCTCATCCAACTATCCCCGGAACCGACATCTACGGCCCTAGAACCTTCACCGACAAGGAAGTTTTCCCGGTTCCGGTCGACGCCCGACCTGCGTTCGAGTATCTGGCCTCGAGCACCCCTGGCTTCACCCAGGACCGCCCCGCATGGGATACAGTCAGCTTCACCGGGGGCTCTGAACCTACGATCCCCGGTCCGATCAAGGCCTCCGTGGTTGCTGTTGCTCTGCACGCGATGTGCGGTCTGGCAGCCAACGAACTGCTCGAGCTGCGCGACGAAAGACCCGTCCGCGAGAGCGCGGTGGCGGTCGACACGGACCATGCCGGCTTGTGTCTCGGCTCGACGTTCACCACCTACATCAACGGAGAGGATGTTTCCACGCTGGATGGGTCGAATGCGCTGACTTCACTCTTCGATCGGGACTTCGAGCAAGGTTTTAGGAAAGGGTTGGCTGGCCGAGCGACAGCGATCAACTAGACCAAGGTTCTCAACGTCTGGTATCAACTCCATGGCTCCATCGATGCCACTCGTCCCCTGCAGTCGATGGGGATCCCCACAGACGTCAAGTTTGACACCATGCAGGAGTACTACGAGCTTTGAATAGCATGAGATCTGTCACCTCCGTCTTCCATCCCTACCGGGACTCAGGAGACCGACTGTAAGGCCGTATTGGTGACCTCATCCCGGGGAGAACGAGTGCTTGTAGGGTCTACTTCAACTCATTGTTGGAACTGCACAGATCCTCGCTGCGTGAATCGAGTCGTGGTTTTTTGGCTCTGAATGACTGTTGTAACCTTCCTTCCAGTGATTCGACGCGTTTCTCGATGTCACGCATGTCGCTGTCACCAGAAAGAATAAGAAGCAGGGGTCCATGACCTTCCAATCATTAGAAAGAATTACCAATGGGTTTTCTGCCGCCGTGCTCGGGCTTCATACTTGCAAGGTAGATTGAATGGTTTGCATGAGGCACACAGGCCGATTGCCATCACATCTAAGCTTTTTCCTCCTGCAGATGCTGCATGCCTATTGAGTTGCGACAAAACATTAGCATCGTCTGTCGCGCTGAGGTAAGTTCATTGGCGCCTTAGCCAGGCGTATCGAGCCGTTAGAGCCAATATTCCCACTCATGTTGCCCAAGGGTTGCCTACTTCTTCCTCTCTGCAACTAGAGTGTTGTAGTCCCCATCAGGTGTCTGGGGATCCCTAGTGTCAAATGTGTCACTGGAAGTGGAATCTAGGCTCACTATCCTTGGTATCTCAGATTATATCTCCTATAATGAACTAGATCCTGAAACATGCCGCGACGACCGCAATTTGAGGACATCTCGTACGTCGGAAGTGTACGGACGCCCTAGTAATTTACTTTACAATTCTTTATGTAGATTTCGAAAAAGGGTTACATTCATAGCACAAAGGGCTTGGAGATGCACAGTGTATGAGGCATCCAAAATTGAGCGGTTTGTATATTCTGCCCTCGAGATGGCGACCCACGAAGAACACAGTTTCTCTAGGAATGGAAACTGGTAAGCAAACTGAGATGAATACCAGTAGAGTTCTAGTTGACGGTGACCGTGTTACAGACCAAGCTGAAGCCGTCACTCGCACCGCACCCTTCGACTGGGTCTTAACGCGTTTCAGAAAGACCCGCGCAGAGATAATTTCACTTGGAGACAGGGGTAAACTCAGTAGCGCAATCATTCGATCGGCATGTCTACATCGCATGGAAGGGAAGTGAGAGTGCTTGATTCCAGCCCAGCCTCCCCCTGGGTCCTGATATATCGACGTTTGCCAAGCAACAATCGATCAAACTAATTATAGTTGGGCGAGAAGTTGGGCGGCCTCGGTTCAACCCTGGCAAGAGCGAGCATCAAGACGAAAAGTTGGTACATTGATTTCAGAGCTATGCGATCGGCTCGAACTATTTTCAACCATAATAACAGAACACCATATCCCTATGCTAAAATTTAGTGACTTCAAATGATGACTCAGGCACCCTATCGAGACGGATAATCATTAGTTTTCAGTCCAGTGTGTGTAGAATCAGCAAGGTAGAAGGCTCAACCCACCAAGAATCTCAAGCGTCCATCCTCGTTGGCGATTTTGTCGGACAGCATGATGCCCTGAAGACCCCGGGAGCCACCATCGCGGGTGAGTAGGTTGGCGACGAGCTTGGGGCCGTACTCGGTCATTTCGAGGCGGACATCGCTCGCGGATTCGGTGAAGTTCTCACCGCCCCAAATGAACCAGCCTGATTAATTCGATGACATGTTAGCATATGACCGACAAGAATAAGGGGAGTAGTGTAGGCCTACCATCCGTGTTGCCAATGTGCTGGTCGAGACGAATCTTGCGGGGGTGGAATTCGCCGTGTCTGTCGCGGGCAACGCAGCACAACATGGTGCTGCCATCCTCGTGGACGATGTGGATGTCCTGGCAGGAAGTGTGGAAAGACATGATGGATGTGAGATGGGTTGTAGAGGAGTTGAGTGAAGTGATGGAGGAAGACGGTGTGAAGATGAAGGTGTGTTGTGGAAGGGAAAAAGGAGGAGGGGTGGGATGTGGGGTTGTTGTTTATATACGTAGCTCCGTAGCTCCGTAGCTCTTCCCCTTCATCACCGCCCGCATTGCTGCCCTACCCACCAAGCCTCGGGATAGACGTCGGCCAAGACGCGAAGTGGCAGACTTGCCTCATAGTGGCTGTACGGATGCGAGTCAAGTGGGGCAGAGGGGTGTCTATCGCTTCGCCTCGCCTCACAGGCGCACGGCAGATAGGGAGCTGTGGGGGAGAGAGGAGCTGCCTGCTTACGGATGGAGCTTGATGCAGAACTCAGAGGGCTTGATTGTGGCTACTACCGCCACTCACATAGCTGCTGCGAGTTGGCAGCTGCAGCCGCACACGTATGGCCGGCTAGTAAATGAATTTAGTGGGATCGTATTCTAGAAGGTCTCTTGTTGATCACCGCAAGGGTAGGAAAGCACGGCGGGGAGGAGGTGGGGTAACGGGACTTTGACTCACCCATCATTGGTGCCATAGCCTAGACTATCGATTATCATTCTTGAGGAAAAGTTTCAGATTCGAACCCTGTCTCCATCTTAATGTCTTGGCGTGGTGAGCTGGCATCACCGTCAACTGCTAAATTTAGCATCGCAGACCACCAGCCACATCAGCCACATCAGCCACAATCGTTGCCTGATCGTGGCGCCACTTGTTCTTTGAGAAGAACAACAGATGGCGCATAGCCCGACGGAAGCTACATTACTGACTTAGCATGTATGCATGTGTTTCAGTACCATTTGGTAACTGTACACATCTTAATAACCTTATTTATTGGTAAAACAGCAGATTAGTTACAGTAGGGTCACGTGATGGTGGTGGAAATGTGCAACATTTATGGATAAGAGGGCAGGCGGTGTGTATCATGTACGTACGTGGCCCCTGTATCGTGTATACATTACTAGCGCCCCCGGACCCTTTTGAAACATACAAGTAAGACTCATGTTGTTCAGCCCAGACCTAGGATGCTAATGCTTGTATATGCCTTGAAATAAAGATATCACAACTGTAGACTGATGGATGATTGACTCTTGTATGCCTAGTAATCTGTATATCAGCAGTCAGGCATAGTTAGTGTATGTCATCACTCAGTTATTTCAAATGACTAACTGGGTTCCCAGAGTCTAAATCCCAGACAAAACGTTATGCTTGTAGGCAAAGTTTATAGGTATCATCCGAACCTCCTTTTCCTCCATAAAATACATATGTAAAGAATTTCCATCACACCCCATAACCTGCAGTAGCTTGTCTATATAGCCTCAACAATCAGGATATTATCAGAGGTCACCGGAGTTCACTACGTCTACCTCTCGGGCTCTTCTGACAACACAACTGCCGTTGTACAGTAACTTACATCGCTAATCCGGAACAGTTCCGCTAGCTCTTCTAAGCATTGCTCATCTCCGCCATTTCTTGTGTATCTTGAGATGATTGATTGCGACTACAAGTTAAGCGCTGAAGGAACCTGCTTACCAAGCCTGCAGCTCGCAAACGCAATCGCACCATCAAACGCGGGGTAACGCCATCCGTTGTGATACGCCAGCAAAGCACCCTCAGCCCCTCATCGGCCCCTCATAAATTCACCCAACACCTCAGTATTCCACACCATCTATCACTCCTGATCATCCCACATATCATAACTCTTCGTATAGCACAATGTCTTCTCCCAAAGTAGCCATTGCCGGTGTATGTCCTCTTAACACCCGGAAACCCCACCTCAGACACCATACAGCTAACAACAGAACAACCGCAGGCAAGCGGCAACCTCGGCCCCAGCATCGTGCAGGCACTCATTGACGCCGGAATCGAAGTCACAGTCCTCACGCGCCAGGACAGCAACAAGACCATCGACAACAACCAAGTCAAAGTCATCCCCGTCGACTACGACTCGCGCGAATCCCTGCAGACCGCCCTGCAGGGACAGGACGTCGTGGTCGACTCCCGGGCCATCCTCCCCAGCGAGTCGACCATCCGGCTGATCGACGCGGCGATCGCGGCGGGCGTCACCCGCTTCATCCCCTCCGAGTTCGGCACGGACACGCTCAACCCGCTCAACGAAGCCCTACCCGTCTTCGCCAACAAGGTCGCCTCGCGCAAGTACCTCGAGCAGGTCGCCCGGACCTCCCCGCTGAGCTACAGTCTGCTGTTCACGGGCCCGTTCCTGGATCTGGGCCTGCGCTCCGGGTTCCTGGTGAATCTCGCGGGCCCGGTCGCGGAGCTCTACGACGGCGGGGACCAGAAGGTCAGCGGCACCACGTTGCCGGGCATCGGGCGGGCGGTCGTCGGGATTGTGAAGAATCTCGAGGCCACGAAGAATGCGGCGTTGTATGTGAGCGAGGCGGACGTCACGCAGAAGCAGTTGATCGCGCTCTCCGGGAAGACGCTGGAGACCAAGGTCGTCGCTACCGAGGAGCTGGAGCGGATTGGACGCGCGGAGTTGACCAAGCCTCAGCCTCATCCTGGCATCGTGGCAGTCAATTTGATCCGTCGGTCCCTGTTTGGAGAGGGGTATGGGAGTTTATTTGACGAGCAGAAGCTCGCGAATCAGTTGCTAGGGTTGAGGAGGTTGACGGAGGAGGAGCTGCGGGAGTTGGTGGCTAGTGTTTGAATTGAGTGATCATAATGGTTTCATGTTGTTGTTAGGTCTGTTGGAAGTACACAGCATGTTGCTTGAAGGCTGTCTTGTGAGGGAGCCATGAGTATTCTGCGGCCCTAACGACAGGGTTGTGGGGTAGTGAGTTCTAAGATACCATCCCCTCGTGTCCTCAGTGCAATGCCATTGCCGTCAAGTGTCTAGAATAGCATGAGCTAACTCATCGAGATAGAAATGGCAGTGCCCCATCAATGAAGGTATCATCCATGGCCAAAACCACCCTCAGGAGGCCTTGGGGTCCCGGATACTGGGCTGGTAATTGGACTGGATG